CGCTCTTCCTGCAGCGTGAACAGTGCAGCCCTACCAGGCTCTCATTTCCAAGAAGGGTCTGGGTTTCACCCTGGGAAACCTCTCGGGAGACAAGAAGATGGCTGAAAGAGGCTCCTTGGACCCTTGGCCTGGCACAGGTCACTTATCAAAGGACCCATGGAAAAACCAACGTCTACTGTGAATATCATGGAGACAGAGGGTTCATTTCATCTTGGCTTTGGGACAAGAGAATGATGGTAACACATTTCTCCACAGCGCTCCACATTCCTCCACAGCGCTCCCTGTCGGGTTACCTTCCAACATCCTGATCGGAGGTGTTTTCCTCCTTTTTATGTGTCCTGACCAGTCCTCTCACAATGGAACACGTCAGACCTTCTGTGACTCAGGAAACTGTCCCTTGCAGGACATCGCTGTCCCTGTGATGATCCTTGGTTGACTCGCTCCTAAAGCCCCCATCTACAGGGGGTGGGAAACTCTGTGGCATGTGACTTATACTGGTTCTCAGCATTTTTGGTGGGATTAAATTCAGTCTCTCACTGTGGAGTTTTGTGCACATCCCAAGTAAACTACTTACATGCTCAACCTGGTTCTGGGGTCTGCTAGACAAATTAAAATCCACCCAAAATCCCGCTGTTCATTCACCAAAATTGTGGAGAACCGGTAAGTTCAGGAAAGGCTGAAACAAGGGGGTGGGGGGGTGTGTGTGGCCAAAGATCAAAGAGTGCACAATGTCAATGAAGCCCCAAGTTCTATTCCTACAGATGAGTGAGGTGTGCGCTGTTACTCTGTCCACCCTGTGCTGAGAAGCGCCTCTCCTCCCCAGTCGTGGGTGGAGTGCCTTCCCAGGAAGAGGGCCAGCAGGTGTCTTCTCCCTCAGGGCATCAGGCAAGTCACAGGCTCTGTGGGAGGCACCGAGCCTAGATACTCCAGAATGGTTTCTGGTCCGGAGAGTGGTGCTTCCACACTGCCACTTCTGATCCTTTTGCCAGAAGTTTTAACAAATGGTCCTTAGAATACCACCCTAAAAAAACTAAAAAACAGTATCAGACCAACCTCCAAAATATGAGGTTGAAAATGAGACCCCAAAAAATAAAAACCATAGGGGAGGGGCCGTCAACTGGCATGGTGGTTAAGGAACTGAACTCCCACCCACATGGCTGATAGCAGTTCGAATAGCAGACCTAGCGACTTACTTTCTCATCAACCACCACCCGCCACCCCCACCCACTCTGGTCTCTCTCTGGTAAGAGCACATGCCCTGCAGCAAATTAAAAAATAATAATAAACATTAAATAAATAATTTATTTTTTTTAAAATGGTGGAGGCAAGAAATTCCTGAATAACTATTATCCCTTGGGGACACTGTGTCACCTCTCATGTTCCACACCCACCCCCGGTGAACTGTGGAGCCTGGACAGCACGTAGAGTGGGTACACCCTTTGCTCATGGCTCCAGCTTCCCTGAGTTTTCTCCCTCTTTCCTCAATTGCCCAGCTCCAACTTTTGTCATTACACTGTGCGCTGCCTTACAAGTCTCCTGGAACAAAGCAGTAACACAGAAGCGAGAGGCACCGTAGTTCATCAGACACACCGGCACCGTGGGGGCAGAGGGCCTACCTGTGTGTGCCGTTTCATGCATCACAGAGTCGCTGGAACCAGATGGCAGCCCGGCTCCTGCCGAAAAGCCTCCTCTCCTCCCCTCCCTGAGTGCAAAAAGCTCATTCCTGTATTTAAAGGATACGGCACAGCAGATCATTATATAATTAACCAGACATTATTTTACTATTCACAAAAGGAGGTTTCAACTTATAGAATATGCTAACTTTAGTCAGTGCCTTGAGGACTGCTCAGTAATTCACGATCCTGCGCTAAGTGGTTAATGCATTACCCATATTAATGGAGGCAGAGCAAGGACATGTTTATAGTGTAGCTGAGTTCCAAGTAGGTTGAACTCCTACCTCGACTGAAATGCAAGATTTACACTAAACCTTTGTGCCAATTCATATCATAAGAAATCTCTTAATGGGAAGTCGGATGGTGGTGCAATGGTGAAATGCAATGGCTGGGAGGCAGACCCACCTGGGAAGTTCTAGGTTTGCATCTGGAGCTCTCCCTGAACACACCAGGCACTCAACTGATTCAGGGCTGGAAGAAGCTGGGGGGTGGATCTCTTCCTTATGAAGGAAACTTTTTAAAATGTGAAGGTATAATTTTAAAAAAAAAAAGAATGAATGAGTGAAAGTGTGATTGTTTTTTTAAAGAATTATTTAATTTTATTTATCATCATCATTTCTCTTTAATTTTGACCACAGAGCAAGAGAGAAAGAGTGGGAAAGTGAGAAAGTAAGCCACCAAGTCCAGGACTTGAACCATGGTCAGCCATGTGGGAATCCAGCACCTTAACCACTATGCCACCTGCTGACCTGTGAAAGTATAATTTTTAAAAAAACTCTTCAATGGAAGCAAAATTCTTTTTTCCTCCTTTTCCAAACTCAGTGTATTTTTTATTTATATACACCTTAAACTCCTAAATTGGCTTAAATTCTAAATCTATTTTAGTCTTTCAAGAATGAATGTGGGAGCATAAATTGATGCAGCTTTTCTAGGAAGCAATTTGGCAATGAACATCATGAGCCTTAAAAATGTTCCCATTCCTTCACTCAGTAATTTCACTTCCGAGAACTTACCTGCAGAAAACAACTGAAATGCTGATCACTGGTATACAAAAACAGATTATGTACAAAGAGGTACATAATCCGAACAACCAACAAAAGGGAACTGTTCGTTTACAAAGCAGTCATGAGACAGGATTCTCCAGTTATTAGTAAGGATTTGCACGTGGAGTTGTAACTACTTGAGAGAAGCGTCTGCGATAGAATGTTAAATAAAAGGGGCCAGAGGGCGAAAAAAAAAAATAAATAAAAAAATAAATAAAAGGGGCCAGAGGGTGGCAAGCTGGTAATGCAATGTCCTTCAAGGCCGGCCCAGGTGGGAAGGCCCCCGATTCATGACCAGAATCCTCCTTGGGCATGACAGATAGGTGTGTGTTCATATCTAGGGCTGGCTGAGGCTGGGGAGAGATCAGAGATCTGACCCTCTATTAGGGGTGCTGTTTGTCTCTCTCACTTACGGAAGAAAGAAAAAACATTAAAAAAAAAATAATATTGGGACCAGCAGTTGGCATAATGGCTATATTGCTAGACTCCCGTGTAGTTGACCATGGTTCGAGTCCTAGACCCAGTGGCTTAAACTCACGCCGGGTGTGTGTGCGTGCATGTCCAGGATCCTGAGAGGAGAATGGAGGAGAAGGGTTGTGGCATGGCCATACCCCCTGGGGGGGTGATTTCTCACTTTCTGTCTCTTTCTGGTGAGCACATATGCCCTATAGCAAAAACCTCTCAAAAAAATAATAATAATCTTAAACAGAAAAAGCAAGAAACAGAACTGCAAACACAGTAATCCTTAAGTATCATACATGAAAGATCCACAATACATAACTGGAGGTGATGTACTCAGATTATGTAAGCGGTGATCTAACATATAATTTTCATTATCTTTCTCACGTGTCTCCATTTCCAATGGGGCAGATTCGCACTCTCATGACCAGTCATTGAAATAAAAGTTACACTTAAAATTAGGAAGTAGTCGGGCAGCAGGTGGCGTGGAGGTTAAAGGGCTGGATCCAGCATGGCTGGCTGTACTCGAGTACTGGTTGGGGCAGCTTGAAAATCATGCTGGGAGCACGCGCTCATGTGTGTATGCCCAGAATCCTGAGAGGAGACTGGAGAAGGGACAGTAGCGTGGTCATCTCACTTTCCCTCTCTTTGTTTTTCTGTATCTTTCTGGCAAGCGCACTTGCCCTACGGCAAAAACATTTTTAAAAAATGAAAACGGAAGAAGTGTAGAAATCCACCATATAACCAATTATTGATTGCAATGTACTCCTTTTTATTAAGTTATAAAACTGAATGTTGTCAATACATACACTTTTGAAAATAGAATGTTTTCCTTAAGGATCTGCTTTTGTGGAGCACATGGTTTTAAACAAACAAACAAATAATGTCTATACCAATTTATGGGGTCTTTGAGCTATTTAGCACTGATAGCCAAACTCTTATATATACAGTCAGAATTTACGGAAAATATTACAGAGACAAATGCCTTGAAAAGATAGTACAGTGCAGGAATAAAACTCAGGCTATTGATCTGGTATAAAAATTTAGTCAAAATAATATCTTAGTCTGTTATGGCCTTGTAAAAAGCTTCAAAGAAAATTTAAGACACTTCTCATCAAAGGCACTTAAGAGAGTTGTAATAAAATACTTCTTTGAGTTTAGTTCGAGTCCAACAGCATTTCTTATTCCTTTTTTCATATTCCGCCTCAGACTGAAATAGTCCATGAAGGCAGCTAATAATGAGGAAAACTAGTTATTGCTTCTTAATATACATATTTAAAATATGCAAACAGAATGAACACAGATTTTGGTCCACTGAAGCAAGCACAGCAGTATCAGACTGTCGTGTTTCTCTGCATTCTGAGCAAAAAGCTCTAAACTCCTCTAACCCAGTCCCACAAACAGAGCCTTTAGTTTTAATTCAGACAGGCTGTCCCCCAGGATCCCCATGAGAAAACTCGGGCCCACATGTCCACCGTGGAGTTTAACTGTTCTGGGGCCATCCGGTGGCCTGGCAGAAGGGTGACTCTGACGTGACAGCGGCCGGCCCCCAAGTCCATCCGCAGTGTCTACAGTTCCGTGTCCCGGTAGCGGGCAGGCTGGCCGTAGTAGCCGCGCTTGGAGTGCTCCGACAGCTGCTGCCGGTATTCCTCCTCCTCAGCGTCGCTGCCATAGCTTCCCCGGAGATCCTGGTAAAGCCTGGAAGGGCCTTTCTGTGGCTCAGGGGGTCTGGAACTAACAAAGTGGGGGTGTCATGTCCACTACAGAGAACGCTGGAGTCCTCAGCTGCCCGTGGAGGGGAGGTGACGAGTGCGGCAGGTCCTCCTCCGAGGCAGAGCACGTACTGATCTCAGACCCAACCTCTGCTGATCGCCGGGGATGCTCTTGGCCCCACTCCAGGGTCACAGAGTGGTGGGCCCAGGACGGGAGTAAGAGGTCAAGGCGATGTCCCCTTGGGCAGTGAGGCGGGAGCAACTAGGTGCTCACTGGCCTAAGAACCCGTGCAGGGCAAAGGGTGCCTTCCCCACCCTGGTTCCCTGGCTGCAGCCCCCTCCGCGGAGCAAGTTCTCCGTCATGTTCAGCCAGTTATGCCAAGTCCCTTTGTTCCCAGAGGTGATGGGTCCACAGAGTGTTACCATCCACTTGGGAGGGAGGAAATGTGCCTCTACAGTTTCTATTGCTGTAAAACTAGACTTTGCTTCAAGTCAGCATAGCCACAAGAAAATGTGATTTATGCTTTTTCTATTCTGGGAAGCAGGAAACGATCCAGTGTAAAATCTCGACAGGAAGACACTGCGATAACTCCTGGCGCTTACGGAGCATTTTAAATGTAGAGCGACTCAACCACGGGCCATGCCGTCAGTCCCCTCAGACCCCCGCTCAGCACGGTGCCTGGCTGTGCCAGGTCATGCGAGGGACCAAGGAGCCTGGCTGTGGGCCTGAAAACATGGCAGCCCCACAGGTCTTACCCCAGGAACTGTACTGAGGTGCTCCTCACACAATTTAACACAACTGGGCTCCGGTGTGTTAGAGGGTAATGACCCGAGATAGGAAGGGTGACACTTTGTGAGTTTAGCCCACACGCAAAATGATCAATTTCTGACTCTGTAAGGTTTGTAATTAAATATGACTGAAATAGTAAGGCAAATGGCCCAGGGAGGAGCACCCTCCTGTCGCTCTGAAATCTGGTAAAGAAATGCCTTTCTTCAAGTCCTAGTCCTAGAGAATACCCTCCCACCCAGCCCTGGCCCTATTCCTCCTGAGCAGCCCTTACCTTGGGTGCTGGGGCAGGCCGGGGTCTGGCTTGTGTGTTTTGATCGGAACTGCATAGATATCGGGGTGTTTCTGAGCAATTTCAATCTATGGCAATAAAGAAAAACAAGGCAAGAGAGAAAGAATGAAGGCTGGACAGGTCACCTCTGATTCCCTGCTAGCCCAACCTTTCTCCCCAAATCCGACTTCTACTCCCATCCCAGTTAGTTGCATGACTGGGTGAGATGCCTTGTGGTACACATCAAACAGAAAACATGTTTCAAAGGAATGAAATTCTCCTTCTTACCAGAGAGTGTGTGTGTGTGCTCACTAGAGAGAGATACAGAGAGAAAGTGCCCTCCAAACGGACTAGAGACTGCAATCCTTTTTCCTCTATTTTTCCACGCCATCAGGATCCTGGACACACAGGCACATGTACCAAGTGTGTGTTTCAAGTTGCCAGGGATGGGACACAAACTGTAGGGGGCCATGTAGGATGTGGCTCCCATTGCACAGATCTTAACCACTGTGCTATAGGGCCAGCCCTAAAAGGACTGAAACTCTAATGCATGCTGCAGCAAGGATGATCCTTAAGGACAGGATACTAACTGGGCCAGTCACAGCAGGACAGATTGTCCTGTATGAGTCCGCATGTATGAGGTCCTAAAGTCGTCAGATTCATAGACACGGAAAGCAGAGTTGTAGCTGTCAGGGGCTGGGGGAAGGGAAGAATGGGGAATTACCACTTAGTAGGTACACACTTCTCTTGAGGAGGATGAGAAAGGCCTGGAGAAGGATGGTGGGGACAGGTGCACGTGAAGGTGCTCAGTGCCACTGAACTGAACACGAATATGCGGTGGTGTGCTGATGTGGCATCATCAAAGCACTGCAATGCTGGAAGCCACATGGAAGATTAAGGTTCAGTTCCCAAATCAACCTGTACAGGCCAGATGTGTGCATACATGCCTGTGATCATGGCTGACCAAGAAAGGCTGGGGGAAAAGGCCACAGGTAAAACCCTGTTGAAAGTGCTTGTCTCTCTCTCTCTCATGAAATAAATAAATGTTTAAAATAAATACGTGGGGGCCAGCAGTTCAAATCTCAGACCGGGTGGCTTGAAATCTATGCTGGGTATGTGTGCATATGAGTCCAAAATCCTGAGAGAAGAATGGAGGAGAAGGGGCTGTAGCAGGGCAATTCCCCCTCAGGGGGGTATTTCTCATTTTCTCTCCCCGTCTCCAGCAAGTGCTCATGTCCTATAGCAAACTAGGGTGTATTTCACGATGTGCATTTCTGCACAATAAAAGAAATTTTAAACGCTCAGAGGCACCTGCTGTTGTGACAGAACTGAACAAAGAGGAACTCCCATATCTCCCAGACGGAACGTGCTCTGCGGACCTTCATTTAAATTCTTCTTTGCCACTTGAAAGGCTGTATGTGCACGTGGTGCAAAAATTCAAACACCATTGGAGTGCAACCTATGAGCCTTTCAAATTTAGCACCCGAAATTTGCTTGATTTCTATAGCAAATGTGAGAGAAAATGAAGACTCAGTTACCAAATAAACATTCACCACAAACATTCTGATGAAAATAACTTGTGCGCCCTGTGGCCTAGTGGTTAAGGCAGCCGGCTCTGACACGGCTGACCCAAGGTCTGAGACTCAGACCCGGTGGCTTGAGAAACACTCCAGGTGTGTGTTTGTGTGCTCCAAATCCTGAAAAGAGGGAGAGGCTGAGGAGAAAGGATCTCAGCCTGACCATTCCCCATGGAAGGCCCTTCTCTCTCCCTCTTTCTAGTGAGCACACATGCCCTCTAGCAAAAAAAAAAAAAAAAAAATCCAAGAGGTGCTGATTCTCTTGGCAGGGTTCTTCATTCCAGAGCTCGATACTAAGTTCTTGAGTATAAAGAGCAGAATCATATCTAACTCTTCAGTTTTCTCGAATGAATGAAATTACAAGTCCCCACAGCAGACAGTTTAGACGCGCTACGCACAGGACACACCTCTGCTATCACTTACGTGACAGCATAGACCGTGCCAGGTCTGTGGCAGTGGAAAAGACTTCCTTGACCATTATGCTAAAACCAAACTTTTTTTTTTTTTTTTCTAAAGAGAGGTTTTTGGTATTAGCTGTATGTGCTCACCAGAGAGACTGAGACAGAAAGTCAGAATCGCCCTCCGGGGAGTGGCTACACCACAATCCCTTATCCTCCATTCACTTCTCAGGATTTTGGACATGCACACACACATGCCCAGCGTGAGTCTCCCCCACCCCTTGCATGAGTTTTAAGCCACCAGGTCCAGGACTCAAACTGCAGTTGCCCATGTGAGAGTCCAGTGACGTAACCGTTATGCCATCTGCTGGTCTCCCAAACCAAACTTATTCAAAGTGTTACTGTTACGATAGGCTCGTCTAGTGGTTTATAAACAATTACCCGTGCGTTCTGGGCTTCTTGGAGTTCCTGCATTCTCTGTAGCTTTGCCTTGTGATCCATCTTCTCAAATATTTTGACCTTGCCCAGGACCGATTTGGGAGTGTTCTCTTGCTCCTCACAGCTCTCTCCTACCTCCTCAGTTTCTGGAGGAGGGATGGGAGTAGAGGGCTTCAGGATAGACCTTCCGAAGGCAGGTTTCGCTGCAACAGGAGGAGGAAGAACTTTGACCAGTGACCCAGAAACTTCGTTACTAGCGACGGCAGACGGGTTTGACTTGTATTCATAGGATTTGGAGAAGTCGTAGGATTCTTCTCTGCTCTGCGTTTTAGCCTGTGGAGAGCAATGACATGTGTTATCTTGGGCTTTCAGCATATTTTCCAATCTATATTAGTGATTTAATACACTCGGTTTCCAGATCAGTTTCCAACAGTGGGCAACAAATATTATTCGGACAGGAAATCTAACATGGCCGGACAGCCAGCCACTGCCCGGGCATCCTGAGCCCCTAGACCTCCCTTCCTAAGGCAGAGGAAGAGCTCTCGGGAAGGTCTGGAGGGCATCACACTCACTAGACCAGACCCCGCGTAATTTTGTACCCGAGGAGCATCTTGGAGAAGCCCACAGAACAAGTGGGACTTTGGGACAGGAGGAGTGGGCTTCTGAGGGTACGCTGTACCCGGGGTGCAGGTCCTGGCCCAGAGGCAGGGACAAGAGCAGCCTGGGAAGCGGGAAGGGCAGCACATCACACTAATGGCCACTGCTCCTTCCTTTACTTCCAGCCCTGCTGATTTTCACTAGTGCACTGTGTGACGTCCTGAATTACTTCTGACAGCTCGCACAACTGGCTTACGCTTTCTTTTCATATAAATTACTGAGTCAAATAGAGAAATTTGATTGGGTTTTGGAAACATCGATAGTCATAGCTTTGATTCTGACTGAGGGTAAAGAATCATGACAGCCACCCCCATGTCTTTACACGGATTTTCGTCTGGATTATGAAGTATTAAACAAACAAACGAAGCTGCTCTCATACTGAGAGGCACTGAAAACAATGGCGATGATTGTTTTCTCTTGCAAATCACCAGGAAGGCTTTTCTGGTACATCTTAAATTAGATTGTGGAGTGAAAACTTTTAATTGGACAGAAAAAGAAAAACAGATTCTCAGATCGGTGAGTCTGGGCATGTAGCATTTACTTTTCTACAAAAAAAGTTAAAATAAACACTAATAGTTTTTAAATTGTAGGCTTTCTTAATACTCCATTTCCCTTCCATCTTTTCGCCCTTCTTTAATTTGAAAGTTTGCCTAACAGGCCAAAAGATGAGGCCTATTTAGAGAACACGGGAGTCAAAGTCATAATTCAGTGGGACCAGCAGATGGTATAACGGCTACGTTGTTAGACTCCCATGTAGTCGACTGCAGTTTGAGTCCCGGACCCGGTGGATTAAACTCAAGCCAAGAACATGTGCATGCGTGCCCAAGATCTTAAGAGAAGAATGGAGACCACTGTGTGGTCATCCCCCCGGGGGGTGATATTTCTCACTTTCTGACTCTCTGTCTCTGTCTTTCTGGTGAATGCACGCACCCTGTAGCAAAACCTTCTTTTTTAAAAAAGCCATACATTCCGTATCTGTGTGTGTGCTCCTCCCCAGCTAGCCAGAGGGCTCCAGCAGCCTCTGTTTCCTCTTCCTTCCCAGCCTGGGCTTCCCAGCCACGTACCTTGGGTGGTTCTGGCTTGAAGGCTGGGGGCGGGCTAGTGTCCCTAAGTTGATCTCTGCTAGCAGCCCTCCTCATTTGAGCTCGTGGCTCTGGGCTGGGTTTCCTTATGCTCTACAAGACATAAAGGTTCATTCGCAACAAGAACAACTGAGCAGAGAGAAGAGAGCACTCGTGCACTTTGCTGGAGTTCTACAAACTTGCGCAAGTTTGGAGGTTCAAGGAGGGACCCAGTGCGCCTTTACTTTAAGGCAGACACGAGGCGTACTCCCATCAGCATATCCTTTATACACATTTTTTAAAAACCCTCCTAGGGCCAGTCTCCTAGCCTAGTGGCTAGGGCAGTCAGGTCCCACAGCCAACTGTAGTTCAAATCCTGGTCCTGTGACCTGAAGAACACACGAGACACATGCGTGCCCCAAATCCTGAGGGAATGGAGAAATAAAGGAGAAGGGAATGCAGTGGGACCATGCCCCACGAGGGGTACTCTCTCACCTCCCTTCGTAACCTCTGAAAATTAAAAAACAAAAAACCCTCCTAAAGCCCCAAATCTCTTCTGAATTACCAATAAGATTTCTAAACATTAGCTCACCTCTATCTGTATATCTGGGAGTTAATTTATTCTTTATAACTTGTCTAGCAGTGTGTGTGTGTGTGTGTGTGTGTGTATGTTGCTACGATGAGGGGTTTTCTTCCCCTTCAACTTACTTTTTTGGTACTTCTATTTCAAAAAACAAAAAAATCATTCACTGGATTGAGCTAAATTGCTCGAGTGAAATCCACAGCAGTAACTGCCCGAGTATACGGATAATCTCATCTACAGCGATCACTGTTCAGTGTTCTTCTGAGGCACAGCTAATAGTCAGTTGCTCTGGTCCTACCCCACTGCCTGTCCATGTACATTTCTAGGACTGCATAAGCTGTCTAATCACTGGCCAGTGGATACACAGTATGTGTGATCAAGCGAACATCCGACCATGGACTTGATTTAAAAATTGAAATACAAGAGAGAGAAGGAAACTGATAGGGAAACGCTCAGGAGCTCTGGCAAGATTAGAAAGGTTAGAGAGAGCAGAGAAGGACAGCGAGGCCTGAGAGTACAGAGAGCAAGACTAATCAAAGGTTACAAGTAAACAATACATTGCATCTGAAAAGGAATGTTCCACTTGTAATTTGGACAGCTGGCACATGAAGCCGTTCCACTGATCCATCGGGCCTGAAGGCATGGGTATGCTGAGTGCTGGGCACTTGGCCTGTCCATGCTCATCCTCCTGCCCCACTTTCCCATGGACCACAGCAGTCACACAGACATTGACTCTGAGACGGACTCCCTAGAAGTCACCTGCTCCAACTCTTAAGCACACCTTCCACAGCACCCTGAATAAACAGTCATCCAGAAGAATGACAGAGGGTCACCAGCATCTCCTGCTCCTGCCCATGGCCTGGCAACCCGTGGCCTGGCAGCCCGTGGTCTGCCTCGCCTCACCTCCTCATGCTGCACCGGCTCCGAGGAGCGGGTGATGGAAGACACCGGCGGCTCCTCAGCTGGCTCATCCAGCTCATTGTCAGTGTAGGCACCTCCTTCACCGTCGGTGTCTTCAAAGTCGCTGATGAGGCGGCTGTCACAACTCAGATAGTCCGCGCCCATGGCGGTTAAGTAGGACATGCGGTCGTCAGGGTCATCATCCATCCCTTCCATCTAGAGGAATTCGTTTCGGAGGGTCAGTGGGGTCTGGCATGCTACTGGGAGTGGGGATTCCAGAGAATTCCCAAGGGCACATCCCAGTGACTGAACCTTCCACACATGCTCATCACCGAAGGATGATTTCCCTGAAATCACTTGACTTTGACTCGGTGTTGACATTTTGCTAATTTTTGCACAGGGTCTCAACTTAAGGACCTTCCGGCCTATCCTTGATAGCACCCACCCCACAGGCAGGGACAGCGTCAGTTTCTCTGATGGCTGCGCTTTCTTCCACAGCCTGGACTCTGTCCAGGCTTCCCTCCTAGTACCTGTCTTGTAACAAGCTCAGAATGACTTGGGCTGTGTACATCTCCACTTAGCTACAAGATTCTCAGATCCTTGAGGGCAGACGCCGTAACCTATTTGACTGGCTAGCAGAGAGCATCCCAGACTGTGAGCACTCAGTGATGCTAGATACCTTGCCTAAATATCCAGTTCACAAAGAGCAAGACTTAGTCAATGCGCCAACAAAACTGACGCTGAGAAGTCTCAAACTACCTCCACTCGGCTGGAGCACAGGAGGCCAGCATCAGAGGCTCCTGGAATTAAAGGGACCACAGGTTTATACAAGCTCTCCCCTCCTCCCTGCAGCACAACCATACATAAGCTCCCTACAGACGAGAAGCGACCCGATTTCGGAGGCCTGGGGAAGTCTCCCGGCGTGCTAACTATTCAAACTCTTATAACTGTGGCACGCTCTCTGCTGACCATTTTCCTAAGCAATTTTTGAAAGCAAAGAATTTCCACTTCATTAGTTTTTCTTCTCTCCACGAAGTTTTAACCACAGTCCCTGTGTTCTTCAATCTCACCTCTCATCTCCACTCTTTTCGGTTTCCCGTGGCCTTAGTAAGCTGTAAAGCTTAGCATGAGATCTTGTAAGCTCTGATTAGTGTACTTGGAATACGAGGAGACTTCAGAAAGTTTGTGGAATAAGGAAATTAAATGACAAGTTTATTTGGGTGCAAAAAATTTTGAAATCCAAGCATAATGTTTTTCCCAGTCCATATTTCCACAAACCTTTTGAAGACCCCCCCCCGATACAATTCTACTTACTACATCAAAAGTGAAAGGGGAGTGAATGTAGGTGGCACTTAGCATATTCTGCTTTTCTTTCCAAAGTCCCTTTATTTTATTACTTTTTCAGAAAATTTATGAAATTTTAAATTTGATTTAACACATGCCTTGGAATCACTTCCAATGGGCATGGCTTTACTACATTCACTGCCCTCTTGAGAAAAGATTCAGAATATAAGCTCTCACCTCGCAGCAGCGAATCTATGTCACATACCTTTCCTTCAGAGACCCAAACGGATTCTCCTTGCTGGTGCTGAATCGTTTCCTTCAAGGTGCCAAACCAGCTATCATTGGCCGAATTGAGGTTGATTGTAGCTACAGAATTGTATACAAAATGTCTGCATCAATTTCCAGACTAATTTATTAAGAATGCTATTTGACATAACTTATACTCGTTTCTGTAATATTTAAATTACAACTTTGGCAAATGGAAAACAAAAAGGTTTGCACACATTTGAATACTAAGTGAAGTACCTTTATGTAAATATAATTAAAACAACCTATTATCTAGTTTTTTGGATTTATATTGCAGATGGATATTATAAAGCTAAAAAAGGTTTCCAGAAAGGCTAACTTTAAACAAATACATTTTCAGGGACCAGTAGTTGGCATAACGGCTATGTCACTGGACTCCCATGTAGTCAGCTGCGGTTCGAATCCTGGACCCAATAGCTTAAACTCCCGCCAGGTGTGTGTGCATGCATCCCCAAGAGGAGAATGGAGGAGAAGGGATTGCAGCGTGGCCATTTACTACAGATCGACAAGGCATTTTTCTGAGTACCTTATGTGGATTAGCTCATTTCATACTTCCACAAACCTTGCAAGGTAGGTACTGCTACCATCTCCATCTTACAGATGAAAGACCAAGGTGGTACAAGTAACTAGCCCAAGCCTCACACCAGGCCAAGTGGAGAGGCCTGGATGCAAATTCAAAAGTTTGCTTTCAGAGCCTGTGTCCTTAGCCACCATACTAGATGGGCCACCTGAAAACACGTATTTAGAACAGATATAAAATACCTACAAGGGCCAGCGGGTGGCTTGGAGGTTAATGTGGCTGGATCCCACATGGCTGACCAACCAGTTAGTGTCTTGGTCTGGAAAACACACCAGGTGCATGTACATGTGTGGCCAAAACCAAAAGAGGAGAATGGAAGAGAAAGGATTGTGACGTGGCCATCCCCACACTTAGGTTTCTCACCTTCCCTCTCTCTATCACTGTCTCTCCCCGGCAAGCACATGTGCCCTATGGCAAACTAAATGAAGTGCTACATATGCAACTATTCTTCACTAACATGTATTTACGGACCTAATGATTATAAGACAGACAAGCAAACTGGTCCTGAATAAGTTAAATTGTGCCTAGAATGATCAGACTGCAGGTCAATCAGGATTGCTTTTGTTTGCGGGCATGGAATGATGTATACCACTTTTCAACCCAAAAGATTCACTAAATTTTGTGAACAACTATGGTTCAAGTTTTCTTCCTGGAAAAATGCTAACTTCCTTTGAAGAAGTTCTAACACTGACCTTGGAAAAGTCTTGAAAGAGGGTACGGTTTCCTTGATAATTAATTATTTATGGCATTAGAATGAACTAATGCACTGGATAACCCAAGGGAAACTCATCTTGATTCCATGGACGTCGGGACCTTCCTCATGGTAATTTGCAGATGATCGTGCTCAGAGCCAAACTATGACGTCATAGCGCTTAACACAGAGATGTGGGACTGTGCACCCCAGAGACAAAATCAGCCATTTGTACTAAGTGTACACAGAACATTAAGCAACCTTTTAAAGCTTTAAGTCAGAGTTATCCGAGGTAAGTCTAGTCTGTATTCATCATAAAGAAAATCTAAAGGTAAAAGGGCCATTTATGAAATGCAGAAAATATGTTTGCGCCTGATGATGAAGTCACAAAACCCTTACTGAGTTCCTGTTAACAGTTGAGGATGTGAACAGAGGAGACCTTTGGAATAGCTAGTTTCCTAAGCCCCGTATAAAGGAAACATCCAACTCATGCACTTGGCTTTTTTTTTTTTTTAAGAGAAATTTTTGCTGTAGGGTGCATGTGCTTGCCAGAGAGACAGTAACAGAAAGTGAGAAATACCCCCTCCCCTTCAAGGGGATGGCCATGCTGCAATCCCTTCTCCTCCATTCTCCTCTCAGGATTTTGGACAGGCATGCACACACACCCAGTATAAGTTTCAAGCTGCTGGGTCCAGGCCCACAGTTTACCATGGGGGAGTCTAGTGCCTTAGCCACTACGCCACCTGTTGGCCCTCAGAACTAATCTCTTTTAAGGAATTATGAACAGGATTTCAAATACTTCATTCAGATTATGTTCTCATTTCTTCCATTCTTCAATTCTCCTCCCTTTGGAGGAAGGAGAAATGAGGAAGTACATTTCAGTTTCATTTACCTGTAAAAAGATGTGCACAGCTTTTTTTAAGCTTGTTGGCTTGGTCAAATAACTTCCGAGAACTTTTGTTGGAGGCTGGATTCAACCTCTGTCTCATGGTTTTGACACCCTGTCTTGAGTCTGGGTTGAAAAAAATCACGATCGGGAACCACTGGGTATAATTCAACAAGTCCACAGCTTTTGGAGTCACATCGAGTAGTGCATGCTTATCCTGTGACAAATGGGGAAAGTTACAGAAATGACAGAAATGGGAACAGAAAGTAATAGAGCATCAGAGAGTTTGTCCTAATACAAATAGGTTAGATCAAATTTAAAACAGTAATTTTAAATTAAAGCAGACAAAACATTTCTTCCTCATCAAGTCCATGTCAGTATTAGTAATCTGTTGGGACCGGCAGGTGGAGTAGTGGTTAAGGAGCTGGACTCCCACATGGCTGACAGTGGTTGGAGTCCCGGATCAGGCAACTTGAAATTCATGCCAAGCATGTGTGAGTGTGTACCCAAAATCCCAGGAGGAGAAGGGATTGTGGTGTGTTCATCTTCCCCTAGGGAATGATTTCTCACTTTGCCTCTTACTGACTCTTGTCTAGCGAGGGCATGCATCCTATGGCAAAAAACCTTAAAAAACCAAATTGTTAATCTGTTAAAACTTCTGATCAGGGCCAGCTAATGGTGTGGTAGGGCTGACTGTGCAGTTCAAGTCCCAGACCCAGTGGCTCAAGAAATACACAAGGCACCTGTGCATGTGTGCCCAAAGTCCCAAGAGGAGAACGAAGGAGAAGGGACTGCAGGGTGACCATTCTGCCTGAGTGGGTACTTTTTCACTTAACACCTCTCTCTCTCTCTCTCTGGTGAGCACATGTGCCCTATAGCAAAGTTAAAAAAAAAAAAAAGAGAGAGAAACATACACAACTTCTGATAAATTACAGGGTATTTGATATAAGGAATAACAACGCTGAAAAAAAAATGTCATTGCCACAGAACAGTGATGATTTCCACACAAAAGACTTTGTATTTACATTTTTTATCATTAATCATTTGTATCATTAGCATTTAATGATTATTAAAATACAGAGTCTATTCTCAAAGAAAACTTCAGCAAACCATGACCTAATTTTTTTCTGACAAGAGGGCCTTTGGATGAATCTTCTCACCTGTTCAATAATTTGCCTCACAGTGTTTAACCGAACTACTCCACTGGATTTCTCGGATCCTGCGTCTTTTGGTTCCGTTTCTACAAAAGCAAAAATGGAACTAAATCATTTTTAAATATCAGTGACATCCACATACTCCGATCCAGCATCAGCTTATGATGGGGCACCTGACATTAGGTGCCTTCTGCTGTGATGCAGTGGGAAGGACCTGGTTGGTACCTGTTAAACTGAAATGTAACCATGTAAAACCATTAGGCCAAATCAAGAGAAAACATCGTGTGTGACTGATGGCTTAAACTCTTCAAAATATGTATCAATGTCACGAAATAATTTTTATAAAGGAGGAAACTATAAAGAAATAAAAATCATATGTAGGAACCAGAGGATGGCAACATCCACACGAGAAGGTTCTGGATTTGCGTCCAAAGGCCTCCCTAAACACACAAGGCACTGTGTGCCCATAATCACAGGATGGCTGAGGCTGGGGGCAGACCATGGCATGAGGACCCTGTTGGGGATGCTCATCTCTCTCTTATTCATGGGAAAAATGTATATATAAACTTAAAAAAAAAAATCAGGCCAGCCCATGGCATGGTGGTTAAGGTGGCTAGATTCCACCTAGTGGACTGTGTGGTTCCAGTTCTGGACTCAGTGGCTTAAAAATACTATGGGTGCATGTGGGTGTGCCCAAAATCCTGAAAGGAGGGAGAAATGGAGGGGAAGGGATTATAGAGTAACCATACCACGTGGAAGGTACGTCCTTGCTCCTCTGTCACCCACTTCTCTCTGCATGTGTCCTCTGGTAACAATTTAAAAAATAATCAGGGCCAGCAGGTGCTGTGGCAGTTAAGGCACTGGATTCCCAGACAATCACGGTTTGAGTCCTGGACCCAGGGTCTTGAAAATCACATCAGGTACCCAAAATCCCAAGAGAAAAATGGAGACGAGATTGCAGCATGGTCATTCCCCATACAGGGTGATTTCTCACTTTCCCTCTGTCTCTCTCTGGTGAGTGCACATGCCTATGGCAAAAACCTTAAGAAACATTTTTTAAATATAATGCATGGTCTATAGTGGTATCTTCAATTTTTTAAAGAATTATTTTAATTATTTTAATTGATTTTAAATTGTGGGGGGGGGGGGGGGGCAGAGCGAGAGAGAGAGAGAAAGAGAGGGAGAAAGTGAGAAAGCAAGCTGCTAAGTCTGCAACTCGAACTGTAGTTGGCCATGTGGGAGTCCAGCGACCTTAACCACCACGCCACCTGGCAGCCCCTGTATCTTCGATTTTTTAAAAGAGAGCTATGGGGCCAGCAGGTGGTATGGAGGTTAAGGCACTGGATCCCAAAGGGCCAGTTGCACAGTTCAAGCCCCAGACCTGGTTACTTGAAACTCACTCTAGGGATGTGGGTGTGTGTGTCCAAAATCCTGAGGACAATGGAGGAGAGGGGATTATGGCATGGCCCTAACCTCATGATTTCTCACTTTCTCTCTTTCTGTCTGTCCCTCTCTCCAGTGACTGCACACACACAATAGGGAAAAAAATTAAAAAAGAGAGAGAGCTATGAAGAGCATATTTTGGACAATTTAGGAAATATAAAAACCAGACTATATACTAAATATTATTATATCGACGTTAAATTTCTTGGCTGTGATAATGGTATTGTGGTTGTGTAAGAGAAATGCCCTTGTTTTGGGGGAGATTCACACACGTTTTAAAGGTTAAGGTATTATGTCTGTAATGTAAAGTTACCAAATGGTTCA